AAGCCACTCCCATCCAGTCACATGGGCAGAAAGCCACTCCCACAAAGGAGGCCACACCCACAGAGTAGGTTCAAACAATTTTTGAAGCCCACCACTAGATTGTTGCCTAGACTGCAGATTTTCCTTTTTTTCTCCCAGGATCATTTCCACACACTATCACACTCTCCCTCATTGAGCGCCTGGGTGTAGAGCCAGGTTTTCATGGATCTTTTAAACAATAGCAAATGAGGGAGCCATCCTAATCTCAGCGGAAACCTCATTTCAGAGGGCAGGTGTTAGAATATTAGAACTTCTGTATATAGCCCTACAGAACAAAAGATGTACCGTCTACATGTGCTTTTCTGCTTAACTGCCTAGATACCATAGATGCAACTACCAATCTATAAACACTGCCATTTACTAGTTAAAGTATATATGTCTCTACTGAATACTGTTGTAGCTGGACAAAATACCTGAATAATGAATTCCAACCGCAGGTGGTGTGACAGAATGGTGCTTTCACTGACATTATGACATTGTTTAATCAAAGGAACCTGAAGCACGTCAACCCTGCAGGATCAACTCAGCCGGGCAGATGTTATGGGAGACACATTTTCCTGAATCAATACTCTTGAGTACCACAGCAATTGTCAGCTGCATTTGCAGGCATAAGTTCTGTCTCTTTGGATAGGTGTGCAGTCTCGTGATTGATGTATTGAAGAGATGGGGCTTGCATCATGATGCCAGTCTTTCCACCTCCCCTCTGGCTTGCCATCCCTGCAGACACTGCTGGTTGTAGTACATAGTGGCCAAGGAAAGGAGATCTTGGAAATGGGAATGGCAATTGTATTCAACTAGGTATCCTATTTACTGATGCAGGACCTGTTAGCTGATAAACACAGCAGTGAAGAAAGATCATAATCAGGTTTGATTTTATAGAGGAGGGAAATGAGGAAAAGAACTGGGACCAACTCCAAAAGGGTGAAGAGGAGATAGGATGAGCTGCATCCTTAAATATGCCAACATATCCCAAAGAAGTCCCTCAATTGGCTGTCCTGAAGAAAAGCTACAAAATGGCCTTGGTTTGGTGCAGTGGCTTGACCTGCCCACCTAAGAAGAATGGACTGAAAGAGAACTGATAACTTTTGAGCTGGAAAGTATATAATGCAATGATTTTATGATCAGAGGGAAACAGTGGGGTTGCGAAGGCTTGTTGGTGCCTTATGAAATTACACATGAGGAAAGGTTTTGCTTTCCAAAACCTTGAAAACCTTGATATGGTTTGTTCTCTTTAGTTTGTGGGTGAAAAACTATATGCCTATAAGGTTCCGTGTGTTTGTGTGTATGTGTGTGTGTGTGTGTGTGTGTGTATGTATGTATGTATGTATGTATGTATGTATGTATGTATGTATCAGGGCTGGGTTTCAACCAGTTCGTGGCGGTCCCCGCGAACCGGTTGGTCGGCGAACCCGGAAGTAAATAACCTTTCCGGCCCCTTTCCAACCGAACCAGTTGGAACGGATTAGCAACCCACCCCTGGTATGTATGTATGTATGTATGTATGTACTGTATGTATGTGAAAACAAACAGAAGAAAGAGAGGGAGGGAGGGAGAGAGGGGGAGAGGGAGGGAGAGAGGTTAGAGAGGGAGAGAGAAAGGGAGAGGGAGGGAGGGAGCCATTTGATGCCAAGATCTAATATTTTGCTATAGAATTTCCCCAACCTAAAAGCAAAGTGATCAAGGGGGAGGGAGAGGAGAACTCTTCTTCAATAAAAATAATCTGATATGGCCACAGATTTTATTCACTGTGACTGACAATAGAACATGGCAAATGTGACAGTTTAAATCATCCTGGGAGAACCACCCAGAGATAAAAATGCAAGGGATCTTTCAGGCCCTACAATTCTTTCAATGTAAAAGGTTTTATTATTATTTTTTCTTTGAGACTACATTTGTCTTTTATTTTTGTGCTTACTTTCTTAAGACATCAGACATTTGTACATGGGAGACCCAAACTGCCACTCTCTACAGTGTCACCTATAAATAAACCCCTCTGAATGCAATACCTCCTTAATTCCCTTTTGTCTCTCTGTGTGTGGGGACCTTCTAGGCATCTTGTAAGGAGTTGCACTAAAGAGCAACAGTGCTGATTTCCAAAGTGTATACAATACAATAGCAGAGTTGGAAGGGACCTTGGAGGTCTTCTAATCCAACTCCCTGCCTGGGCAGGAAACCCTATACCGTTTCAGACAAATGGCTATCCACCATCTTCTTAAAGACTTCCAGTATTGGGGCATTGTTTTTGTGTGGCAAATAGGAAGAGGAGGGTATGATGGATATGTTCCAGAATGGTATTCAGCCAGTTCTGACAGGTTCTGTAGAACCGGTAGCGGAAATTTTTGAGAGCGGGGTGAGAATCGGGGTTTTGCAGTATCCTTCCCCTGCTGCACCCACAAAGCCACGCCCACAGAACTGATATGTTGGTCACCTTGAGTTATTTGTGAGAAAAAATGAAGATGGGATACCAATAAATAAAAATAAATGAAATGTTAAATAAACATTAGAGAGACCCAGATTCAAATTCATCCTGAACCATGAACCCTGACTTTGGACCAATGACTTTCCCAATGTCATTACTAAGCTGTTGTTGTGGGGGAAGTGGGAGAGGGGCATTAGCTCCAGAATAAAAGGCATATCTAACAAAGAAATAAACAAGATCAAGCTGAGAACTCTCTTGCCAGCAGCAGTATGAACTCTGCATATTCTGTAGACAGAAAATATATAAAGTGGGGGCTTGGATAATCTTGTAAGACTGTACGGTGCCACTTGTTTTCTCAGTGATCAATCTTTGCCAATAATTACATGAAAGCTATCTACAAAAATTCAGGATAGTTACCACCTGTTAGGCCTTGGCACACACAATGAAGCAGAAGAAAATAAAAGTCTTGCTTGAACTGAGTGGGAGAAGAAAGATTACCACCTTTCCATAAGCACAATTAATACACCTCCCCTTGTGCCTAGTTTCCAACACGAACTTCAGAAGCAAATTCCAACCAATTATTCATAGCTCAATAGTGCTGTACAGTCTTCCTTTTAGTTCAGTTGGTGCTGTACGATGAAACTGCATAGAAACTTTATTATTAGCTTGACTTTTTTTTTCCCTGACAGAAATAGACTCTACCGACAATTTTGAGATTTTTTTTCTACAAAGTTGCTAGTAAGGCTGGAAAGTATGGTGAAACAAAATTTAATTCCTCAAGTAACTGGACAATATTGTCCTAATTGCCATCTTTACCCTGATTGCATGCAAAGGCTCCCTTGTATTAATCACAATTTTTGATGATTACTTGCACATGGAGATGTTTCTTTGGAATTAGTTTGCAGTAGAAGAGTCAACTATTTGTAGCTCAGGGTTGAACTGTGGGGTCCTTGGTGCTCCCTGAACTTGGTTGTTTTCTTGCAGATTCTTTCATTTCCCAAACAGATAGTATCATCAGTGGTACAAGGATGTAGGGTTGATACTGTACTTCAGGGCTGCCAAACTCAAAGCCCGGAGGCAGGATCTGGCCTGAAGGGTGCGTAGATCTGGCCCATGGGACCATCCTGGAAATAGTGAAGGGGCAGTCCGTGGTGCTTCTGCCAGGAAAATAGAGCTCAGGAAGGCCGTGTGCGACCCTCCTGAGCTCCGTTTTCACTGGCAGAGGGTTGCAGGAGACCATCGCAGCTGGAAACAGAGCTTAGGAGCCAGTTTTCACTGGCAGAGCGCACCACCAAAGGTGCCCCTGACACGAGTGTTGTCAAGCTGTCCATGCCAACTCTGGCCATGCTTGCCCTGCCCCCCTGATGTCAAACACTACCCTGATGAAATTGAGTTTGACATCCCTGCTGAACCTGGTTGTGCAATGAAAGCTCTGCAATAAAACAACCAAACTCAGAGAACACAAAGGACCCCATAAAATTAATTTGCTTTTATCTTTTTTCTACTCTATCCTTATATTCCTGGTCATCTAATCATTAACAGACCTGGAGAATTTTGTATCTTTCCAACATTCGAAGACGTATTGACGTGTTTTGACAATATTTTCATGCTGTCTTCCATCACATGACTCTGGGAAGATACATAAAATGCAAAAATCCTAATGTATTAGAAAATAAAATAGTGCAGTAGCATCAGTTATAGCAATAAAAGGTAGAACATTCATAGGATACCCCACGAGGGTCTTTTCTGTGTCCTAATCTGTTTGCAGAATTGGTTTCGTCTTTAAGAATGAATAGCTACTATATCAGGACTATTCAGATCCTGGTAATGTTCAGTGGACCAAGGAATACTCTTTAGTCCAAAACCAATTTTAATTTTCCTGTTAGTATAACAAACCTACAACTACTTCCTGAAACTCAGAATCATCTGTCTTGAACTGGAAATATATGCTGCATATTCAACATCAATTTATTGGCCCTTATCCAGTCAATAATAAATCCATACACTGATCTCACATGATTGATACCCTATATATATATATATTTCAAATGACTGCAACAGGTACCTTTAAACAAATTTTTAAAACTGATTATATCTTGCTTATTAACATAAAATATTTTTTATTTAACCAGTAGGTCTGCTTATTATCCATATTATATTCCATATAAAAGGATAGAGAGCTAAAAGCTGACAAGTAAAGTTGATAGAGGAAGCAAAATTCACATAATGACCGCATGAACCACTTAATCACTGCAGTGCTTCACTTAACTGTGGCAAGAAAGGTTGCAAAATGGCTCAAACGTGAATTAATAACTGTCTCGCTTAGCCACAGAAATCGAAATTACAGTTGTGTCTGTAAGTCGAGAAATATCTGTATAGATAATTCTTCCTTAACTGGGATAATTGGGATTGGATATGGAACCATACTGCTCTGCCAATTCTTGACTTACTGAAAGTTCAGAATGGATCATCTGAGAATAACTGAGAATGTAAAGAGATTGTGTACATTGTTGACAGAGTTTAGTGACAGGTGGCCATTAAATCAAATAATTAGATGCATTTTTTTTAAAAAAATCCTCATTTTAAATATTGTCTTAAGGATTCTTTATGTTTCCTCATTATTCTTCCTCATTTTTGGTTTTTCTCATTATTATCAATGTTTCTCTTACTTCTTTTTTGAGCCCTCAATGATTCCTAAATATATAAATCATATTCTGAGGGTTTTTCCCCCCAGATTAAACAAATTATCCTGTGCTACATATTTTGTTTTGTGTGTGTGTATTTCTTTCTGCTGAATTGCTTATTATTGCATATTTATTTCATTCCAAGGTACTAGAAAAAAAGGGGAAAGATTAGGTAGGCACTTCAAGAGAATTAATTTTTATTTATGTCCTCGAAAGGGAGTGGAAACTAATCAAAACTGTTCAGCCATTTGAGATTTCTTTAGAATGGAAAACTCTGTTTCACAAGTAGTAGTTTTTTAAAAAAAATGTGTCAGGAATAGAGATGTGTGCAGTTGAGTGAAGGGCACATTCATAGCATCCTTTTTCTTCCTTTTAAAATCTTTTGTCATATTGTGATTATGTTCTGTTGCTTAGCTGTGGAACCCATCCAGGGTGTTTGGACCATTGGTAAATTTCATATCTTTTGAGGATGCCCTTCCAAATTGTTCTGTGAATTACAGCAGATCATGCAACTGTCTAAAATGGAAGTAAAATCCATTCTTCTCCTTGCTCAGAAGGAGTCACTCTGGAATATTTTAAATTTTGCCTTATCAGATTTTCTTTTTTGCCTGTCACGATAGTGGCTTTTGGCCAATTTGCAATCGCGCTGGATTTAGGCAAAGAAGGAAGGACTGTGCAATCTTTATTTTTGCATCTGGCAGACGAACGTGAAAATTTAATGTGAAATGCACAGGATTTAGTCTTTGTTGCTCTCTTCCTCCCCTCCCACCACTTGAACCTCCGTCTCCTACGGAATCAGAAATGCAGCCTTCATCTTTCAGCATGCTTCACACCAACCGGGCGGAATTTTGCTTACGGACTTCAACATCCCACAAAGAGAGATTTCATGAAAATAGCTCCCAGGTGGAACCACACAGAAACTTTGATCAAAGCGTGTGAATGACAACTGAATGAAGGCATTCTGTCAACACGTCCTATTTTCCACTTGGCAAATGCTGTTTGAACTCGTCAGAAAGTTTGACAGATTATTTTGCTCACCTCCCCGCATTCACCCCGTCCTTACCTACGAAGAGATTCCATTCGGTATCCAGATCTGCTTGGTTTGCAAGGCAGCCCTTCATTACGTTGAGGCAGTAGTTATTGCAAGGTTTCACAGTGGGCAGTCCTCGGCAATAAGGGCAGTACAGCATCTTCATTAATGCCCGGATGCATCCTGGGGTGGGACTCACCTGCAGAGTTGAAAGGGGAAAAAAAGTTGAAAGGTAAAACAAGCAGCCTCCATTTCCTATATGTATCCTGGGTCTTGGTCTGATCAAGACTTAGCAAGCAATGATAAGCCGCTTACTCACAAGTAAAACAAACCCCTTTTCAAACAGGGTAGGGCATGGGTGTCAAACTCAAGGCCTGCAGGACAGATATGGCCTACGGGGTGCTTAGATTGAGCCTGTGGGTGTTGTGGCCTGCCAGCGGCAGATTCGGACAGTGAGGAGGTTGGGGAGGAACATGGGCCAGTCCTAGAGTCTAGGGAAGGCTCTGATGAGGGCTATGTGTCGGAGGCAGAGAGAGGGCCAGAGCCATATCTCAGTTATCAGCTGCCTTCAGAGTCAGACATCAGTGAGGCAGACGAACAGCTGGAGCCTGTTCCTAGTCTGCACATGCACAGAGTTGCCAGACGAAGGGAATAGCTAAAGAACAGGAGTTGATTTGGGATTAAGGGTAGACAATGAATGGGCCCTCTCAGAGGAAATAAAAGAGGAGCGAAAGAGCAGTGGAGTTGCAGGAGACAATTAGTTCGCTTAATCGAGAGACCCCTTGCCAAGTTTTGCAGATATCAGCCTGGCAGCTTCCTACTCCAGATAAAGTCTGTGACTGAAAATCCTCCCTTGAAAGACTTTGCTGAAAGTGAATGAGCAGAATTCACAGTAAATTAATAAAAGGGGCTTTTGTCGAAACCAGGAGTTTGTTTCATACTCTTGGGAAGCCTAGGCCAGGACAGTGGGGCCACCCTGGAAACAGTGGAGCACGGTGCCTCTGCCAGCAAAAATGGAGCTCCATTTTTGGCTGCAATGGCTTCCTGCAGTCCTCTGCCAGCAAAAACGGCGCCCTGGAGGGCTGGGCGGGGTCTCCTGGGCTCTGTTTTTACTGGCAGAGGACTGCAGGATGTTGAGCTTGCCACGCCCACCCTGGCCACACATTCACTCAGCCCCCTGAGGTCAAACACAACCTTGATGTGGTCCTCAATGAAATTGAGTTTGATACCCCTGGGGTAGGAGCAGTCTTTTATTCACGTGGATAAACAAAAAACCAAATGTAATTAGTCCCAACAGACTTGGTTCTGGCCTAGAAATCCAAATTGCTTGTTGTATCCTAAACATGAACAGTTGTCTGCGACAGCTGGCCACTCGCGAAGCCCTCCTATTTATTTCCCAGCCAGGGAAGGGCTGGCTAGCATCCACGCCTGCTTTTCCTTGAGAACCGGCTTATTATTTTCCTATGCTCTCCTCTCCTTTCCTGTCTGCGCATACACACATCTGGGATGGGCCCCATCTGTTCCTCCCCCTCACTCAGTTCAGGCACAGAAGACAGCTCCCTCTCCACCTGGGGGATGACAGAAGGCCCCGGCTCTGCCTCTGTCTCTGATGCTGTTTTCTAATCAGAGTCTTCCAAAGGCTCTGAAGCTGGCCCAGGCTCCCCCTCAACCTCCTCCTCATCTGACTCTGCTGCTAGCTCTGCTGGCAGCTGACAGATCACAACAGGTCTGGATAAAAAAACCCGACAACCTTTTTTGAAGATCGGCGGAAAGACGAGACGAGAGCCAGGACTGCCGAACAAGAGGTTTATTTTACACAAACTATTTACAGGCGATTCAGCACCATCCCTGCTTGACAGCTATTTAAAATGAGGTGTCAAAGCAGGGATAACCAATGGGCGTGCTTCAGGCATCTAGCAACTGGTGACGCTGCGCCTGAACCAATCAGGGCGCCTCTAGCGGCTAGCAACAGGCGNGGCATGGGTGTCAAACTCAAGGCCTGCAGGACAGATATGGCCTACGGGGTGCTTAGATTGAGCCTGTGGGTGTTGTGGCCTGCCAGCGGCAGATTTGGACAGTGAGGAGGTTGGGGAGGAACATGGGCCAGTCCTGGAGTCTAGGGAAGGCTCTGATGAGGGCTCTGTGTTGGAGGCAGAGATGGGGTCAGAGCCATATCTCAGTTATCAGCTGCCTTCAGAGTCAGACATCCGTGAGGCAGACGAACAACTGGAGCCTGTTCCCAGTCTTCACATGTACAGAGTTGCCAGACGAAGGGAACAGCTAAAGAACAGGAGTTGATTTGGGATTAAGGGTAGACAATGAATGGGCCCTCTCAGAGGAAATAAAAGAGGAGCGAAAGGGCAGTGGAGTTGCAGGAGACAATTAGTTCGCTTAATCGAGAGACCCCTTGCCAAGTTTTGCAGATATCAGCCTGGCAGCTTCCTACGCCAGATAAAGTCTGTGACTGAAAATCTTCCCTTAAAAGACTTGCTGAAGTGAATGAGCAGAATTCACAGTAAATTAATAAAAAGGGCTTTTGTCGAAACCAGGAGTTTGTTTCATACTCTTGGGAAGCCTAGGCCAGGACAGTGGGGCCACTCTGGAAACAGTGGAGCACGGTGCCTCTGCCAGCAAAAATGGAGCTCCATTTTTGGCTGCAATTGCTTCCTGCAGTCCTCTGACAGCAAAAACGGCACGCTGGAGGGCTGGGCGGGGTCTCCTGGGCTCTGTTTTTACTGGCAAAGGACTGCAGGATGTTGAGCTTGCCACGCCCATCCTGGCCACACACTCACTCAGCCCCCTGAAGTCAAACACAACCTTGATGTGGTCCTCAATGAAATTGAGTTTGACACCCCCTGGGGTAGGAGCAGTCTTTTATTCACGTGGATAAACAAAAAACCAAACATAATTAGTCCCAACAGACTTGGTTCTGGCCTAGAAATCTGAATTGCTTGTTGTATCCTAAACATGAACAGTTGTCTGAGATCACAACAGGTCTGGATAAAAAAACCCGACAACCTTTTTTGAAGATCGGCAGAAAGACGAGACGAGAGCCAGGACTGCCAAACAAGAGGTTTATTTTACACAAACTATTTACAGGTGATTCAGCACCATCCCTGCTTGACAGCTATTTAAACGAGCTGTCAGAGCAGGGATAACCAATGGGCGTGCTTCAGGCATCTAGCAACTGGTGACNTGAGCCTGTGGGTGTTGTGGCCTGCCAGCGGCAGATTCGGACAGTGAGGAGGTTGGGGAGGAACATGGGCCAGTCCTAGAGTCTAGGGAAGGCTCTGATGAGGGCTATGTGTCGGAGGCAGAGAGAGGGCCAGAGCCATATCTCAGTTATCAGCTGCCTTCAGAGTCAGACATCAGTGAGGCAGACGAACAGCTGGAGCCTGTTCCTAGTCTGCACATGCACAGAGTTGCCAGACGAAGGGAATAGCTAAAGAACAGGAGTTGATTTGGGATTAAGGGTAGACAATGAATGGGCCCTCTCAGAGGAAATAAAAGAGGAGCGAAAGAGCAGTGGAGTTGCAGGAGACAATTAGTTCGCTTAATCGAGAGACCCCTTGCCAAGTTTTGCAGATATCAGCCTGGCAGCTTCCTACTCCAGATAAAGTCTGTGACTGAAAATCCTCCCTTGAAAGACTTTGCTGAAAGTGAATGAGCAGAATTCACAGTAAATTAATAAAAGGGGCTTTTGTCGAAACCAGGAGTTTGTTTCATACTCTTGGGAAGCCTAGGCCAGGACAGTGGGGCCACCCTGGAAACAGTGGAGCACGGTGCCTCTGCCAGCAAAAATGGAGCTCCATTTTTGGCTGCAATGGCTTCCTGCAGTCCTCTGCCAGCAAAAACGGCGCCCTGGAGGGCTGGGCGGGGTCTCCTGGGCTCTGTTTTTACTGGCAGAGGACTGCAGGATGTTGAGCTTGCCACGCCCACCCTGGCCACACATTCACTCAGCCCCCTGAGGTCAAACACAACCTTGATGTGGTCCTCAATGAAATTGAGTTTGATACCCCTGGGGTAGGAGCAGTCTTTTATTCACGTGGATAAACAAAAAACCAAATGTAATTAGTCCCAACAGACTTGGTTCTGGCCTAGAAATCCAAATTGCTTGTTGTATCCTAAACATGAACAGTTGTCTGCGACAGCTGGCCACTCGCGAAGCCCTCCTATTTATTTCCCAGCCAGGGAAGGGCTGGCTAGCATCCACGCCTGCTTTTCCTTGAGAACCGGCTTATTATTTTCCTATGCTCTCCTCTCCTTTCCTGTCTGCGCATACACACATCTGGGATGGGCCCCATCTGTTCCTCCCCCTCACTCAGTTCAGGCACAGAAGACAGCTCCCTCTCCACCTGGGGGATGACAGAAGGCCCCGGCTCTGCCTCTGTCTCTGATGCTGTTTTCTAATCAGAGTCTTCCAAAGGCTCTGAAGCTGGCCCAGGCTCCCCCTCAACCTCCTCCTCATCTGACTCTGCTGCTAGCTCTGCTGGCAGCTGACAGATCACAACAGGTCTGGATAAAAAAACCCGACAACCTTTTTTGAAGATCGGCGGAAAGACGAGACGAGAGCCAGGACTGCCGAACAAGAGGTTTATTTTACACAAACTATTTACAGGCGATTCAGCACCATCCCTGCTTGACAGCTATTTAAAATGAGGTGTCAAAGCAGGGATAACCAATGGGCGTGCTTCAGGCATCTAGCAACTGGTGACGCTGCGCCTGAACCAATCAGGGCGCCTCTAGCGGCTAGCAACAGGCGATGCTGCGCCCCAGCCAATCAGAGTGCAGCCTGGCTTGTTGCTATCTGCCAGGTCGTATGTCAAGGACTTTCTGAGTCCTCAACAACCTTCATTTCTCCACTAGTGCAGGCAGTCCTTGACTTACGACCACAATTCAGCCCAAAATTCCTGTTGCTAAATGAGAAATTTGTTACGTGAGTTTTGCCCCTTTG